AGTCGACATTCTTCGAAAGCGTGGATATTGCAGTCCAAAATATACCGCGAAATGGAAAAGTGGTAATTGAAGGGTGACCATGAGGGACACGTCAAGAAACATCAAAGGGGTTACGACAAGATCCATGGCAGTCATGTACATGGAATGTTAAGTAAAGAAGGAGAGAATGTCTTACAGACAGCAGCTGCATATGATCCGACACTGATAAGCGCTTTCTTCCAAAAAAGAGGAAGCCATTTGCTATCTTACAAGAGCGGAAAATGAAAAGCCAGGTCGACTACTTCCTTCTGTAAAGGACCAAATTAAACAATGTCAGAGATTGCAAGGGAAACTGTAACGAACTGGCACTTGCTACTGGTGCTAGACCTCTATCTCTGAAACATTCCATTCAGATGGATGGTACAGTTGCTGAATTTGAGAAAATACAGGAACCATGGATGCAGACTACTTTGCTAGGAAATGAGAGGGGGCATTCTCGCCTGCGAAAACAATCAGAGAATTAAGCTGCTCTCTCACTCCATGAAGTTACGTGAAAGGGTGCTGGACAAAAGGCTGAGGAAGAGGACGGGGTCACCGGAACAAGTTTGGCTTTATTCCAAGCCAGTCAACCAGGAATGCCATGTTTGCTTTAAGATACAGAGAAATCGGCCAGAAACTTACAAACTTACGTAGTGTTCCTAGAGTTAGACAAATGTGAGGGTGGCTAGGCGGGCTTTCATGCAAATAAAGATCATGCAGCTGGTTGCGAGATGGTAATCCAGAAGGCATATGACCACGATATATCTGGTTCCGATAGCAATGACGTTTCATGGACAATTTTTTCCGGAATAATTTCGGTGTACGAACAGCTCTGCTTGAAATTCTTGGAACTTTAGACGATCTTGCAATTGTCAGCTGGTACTCCCACAGCTCAAGCTTCGGGAAATGTTATTTTCCCACTTGAGAGAATATTAACGTTCGCTGAAGCTATAATTTATCGTTTCTTTTAATGGCGTCTGTGGAAAGTAGCACTCTTCACAGTAAACAGAGTTGCGGTTGTCCAGTATCTTATGACAGATCGACAGCTCCCAATTAGATGTAAACTCTTGACAGCTGGTTTTTCTAACTGCCAGAGAGACAGTCCCAAAATGACATGATGAAGATCAACTGACCTGTCGACGTGCAGGCTGCTTAACAAGTCTGAACCGCGATTCCAGATCACATCATGGTTTCATTTCCGTTAGAGTTACTGATTTAAGGTGTACTGTAAAACTACATCAACCTCTTGTTAGATAATCAATTTAGTATTCACGATTGTACTGCACCGTTAGCATAGCGACTAAGGTACATGGACTCTGCCGTCGCTTACTTTCTCATGTGACTTGGTTGTGTGATCGAAGATGGTAATTTGCCTGGCATGTGTAAACAAGGAAACGACTGTCCAAAGGTGAAAGTGAAACCAGATTTTGGCTGGAGTTTTCAGGTCGCTTCAAGCAAGTAATTAAATTTACTATTGCTCCATTCTAGCAACACCATTAATGCTGAACCCGGAATCATAAAAAATGGTAATAAGTTTCTATCAGTCTGTGAACGCATTATTACGGGACAGTGTATTGATTTTGCTGGAACAAGACTCATTGGGGTAGTTTTGCTAGAAACCCTCCCGGTGAATATGCGAAAAATATTATGAGCAAGGGCTATGGAAAGAAACATCGAAATCACACATTAGTGTAGTGTAAGAACTTGGTCATAGTAATTTGCAAACGATGAAGTCGAACAAAGATTTATTTTATTAATATTGGTCGAAAATAGCAAATGCGAAGCACAGCTGGTGATAATGAACCTTAATCGTCGGAATTCTTATCAACAAATAAGCGGACTTTCAGGCTTACGTATACAAATGGAAGTGTCGGTTAGTTCAAAGCCCGACTACAGAGGGCTACAAACTCTAGCCAACGCTTGGTTCTACTTCTACGGCATTGTTGTGGTTGTTGCAGTGTAAATATACGCTTTCATATTGACTATAACACGTACACTGTGGATACACTTCCATGTGGTCATAAATCAGTCTTCAAACGGGGTTTATTGCAGGAATATATATCACGGCTACATGATGATCTGACTATGTCACACATATCATATATTTTACTGAGCGTTGTTCTTGTTCGCTGAGTCCCTATACTATTTAACTCAGAATATTAGCTGCATGTATATGACATTCTTTTCATGTAATTATGCCCCATAAAAAACTAAAAATAAATGCACTTATTAATATAATTAGCTGAATAAAATTGCTTAAACAGAAATGTTAATACTGAAGACTTCTCCCGCTTAATACGTGGAAAGTAGTAAGTTTCATGTTAAATAAACAGTGATAAAGTGTCAAATTCGAAACATGGAACGCACGGCAATATGAGCTTAGCGAAGAGCCCTCCAGATGAAGCGATTCCCTTGCTTAACGTGAAGTGACGAATATGTGAACAGTTAAGGAGCAGGCGTTCGCATCACCAGTACACCTTCACCCAATTTTCAAATAGTAATCGCATCATAAGGGAAATGAAACGGCGAAACCAATGTATTGATCAGCAACAAGAGTCGAAACAACGTACGTAGAACTTTTGCAAGTTTTGCCTGTTTCACGGTCATTCAAAAGTTCCAAAACCAGCATGAAGCTGGCTTACACATGCTCTAATTGCCACATATTCTACATGCCGACAGAATGTGGATCTCGGATCTCGATCAGCCTTTGGAAACGCGAAAGACTTCCATAAGCAAGGTGTGGCGTACCAAGGCATGAAACGGTAGGTAATGGGAAAGAAAGCGTCTCCGCTACGTGTGCGAGCCGGAATATGTTACGACTTCATTGAAGTACTAAGCTGAAGTACTGGAAATTGCCATTCTTCCAATGTTATCATTCTGTGCTTCTTATTTATCCACCTGTTTTTCATTTCAATTGCTGACTTTTTGTCTGTTGAAAATCTGTAAATATTCTACAGCAATGGATTCATACCTCCTAACAACTTATTGAAATCGGAATCTGAATTCCGATGCAACAGCCAGATCAACTGACTGACGCTACACAGCGATGGAATATTAAAAGAACTAGGGAAACTTTGCTTAAATCGGACAAACTGTGCGGATTGGATTCCACTATTTGGTTCTAAGCCGTCTCTTTGATCACCTGACTTGCAACTTTGTAGAAAGGCAGTTTGTCGTGAGTCTCTGCTCCCGCATTCTGTCCACGTTTCGCTGATTCATACAAATCTCTTATGTATTTCAACTGAACAACCTCACCATGCAAGAGATGCACAAAACGAACAAAACGAAATGTTCCAACATAAAGTAGCATACAATGGAACTTGGAAATTTCATTTCGATAAATTTCGTTACCATGTTCATGTCTAAGAAATGTTTCATCGCCCAGTTTATCCAGAATACACTAATCGACACAGGAACTTCAGTTCTGGAAGTTCCGGTGAATTCCTTGTACGTCATAAGCATGTCCTTGTAGGAGCGCATTCGATTCCTAAAAAATTTGGAATATTAAATCATCTAAAATTCTGAGAGGGGGACTTTCTGCGCATTATGTCTTATACTGGAATATAGTCTTCCAGGCTTGGTTTCGAACTTCGTTTATTTCTAATTACGCTACATATTTTCAGCAATTATCGAATTGTGGTGCACTCGGTTGTCTATTCCGTTCCGCACTGCTCGTGAGACCGATTTGTTATACAGTGCTTCAGGCTATGGACGCCATAAGTTTCGAAAGACATTTGCCTCGCATAACATTACATTACCCTTGATTTTGTTTTTACTTTTTTTATCACTAAAGAACATATCCTTTAAGAACCTCATTACTCATTTTTAAACTGAGCAATTTATTTTCAGTTTTACACTATATTAAAGTGAGTATGAGCCTTCATGTCAGGAGGCAATCTGAAGTCAAAAAATGCATACATGGAGATGAGTGAAAGCAAAATGCAGAAGGCTGAATACGTGGTTCAGTTTACTCACCACCGATGGATAGCTACAATCATCAGGCTGTATCCGCGGGATGTCCAAAGGCCAGTGGGATATTTCTCGTAAAGTTAGGATGGTTGTATATTTGACTTACAAGAACCAGCAGTCCATGTGATTGTTAAACGGGTTGATCAAAACGCTAAAAACTAAGCTTGAAAGTTGCTACAAATATGTAATTCAAAACAAATGTAAATATTTGCAAAATTAGACCGGGGTTGCGTAGAGTGTCAGTAGAGTGTCAGAGTCATAATCGAGAAATCCCGGCTTCCAGCCGCGTCCAGGGTTATTCTCCGTTCTTCCACGTAAGATTCATTCATGGCGGGGAGGAAGGAAACAGGAAACTAAACGTTATGCTTGCAACGTAACTGCAGTCGACTGCCTTAAAAATAAAGCAATCCTATCTAATGGCATGGAAATGAAGATGAGCGTCGCATCATTAACTTCCTGAAACAAAGGACACCAGAAATGGCCCCGGTCATTGGTATTTAAGGAAGGCCAACATTTCAGCAATAGCAAACCTTCATACCCTTTTTAAAAAGCAAAGAGGTTTCAAAACGGACATCTAACGCCGACGACAAGCCAAAATTTTAAACTTCCTAATAGTGTGCTCAGATTCATTTGCATTTTAGCAGAAGACTCCCTGGACGAAATGTAATTTGTATCATTTACCATCGGTCGTCAAGAGCAAACCGGAAACTTCACGAACAAACATTTGGTTCTAAAGCAGTTGATCAAAACTGCCTGAAAATTGAACAGCATCAATGAACCCAGTCCTCTGAAGAACTCTGGCACCAGTTTGCTCCTGGTGATTCCCTATCAAATAAAAATCGAAGCGAAATGGTGAATTAACTTATAATTTGATATGGCATAATAGCAGAATATGCCTCTTCAGGGCAAGAACAGCTGTAGATCTAGCTATTGGACATTATC